GGAGGGGAGGCTGCCTCGGGCGCCCCCCGCCGCGCGCTAGGCTAAGCTTGGCGGCTCTGGCGTCTCCATGCCGCCCTGCCCCGCGGGCTCCGGCTCAGTCTCGAGAGCAACAGGTTAAGCAGGCAAGACGTCAGCGCGCCCCCTCCCCGCCCCGCGGCCTTCCCCTACCGTGCGCCTATGTACCCCGCCCCCTCTCCGCCCCTTGCCCCTAGTGGTTCTGCCCCCCCCCATCGCAAGCAGCCGCGGTCTGTTGTCATTGTGACGTCACAAAGGGACGGCCCGGTGGAACCTTCCCCTCCTCCGTGATGTCAAAGGTTCCAGGCGCGGCCAGAGTAGGAGCTGTGGGAGCCGGACGTGGGAGGAGGAAGGGGTTGTGAAGGGTGCGACAGACCTTGACCTTCCGCTTTGAGGTTGTTCCAGGTCCTACCAGGTGAGCATCGGGAAGCCTTTTACCCCTCACCGAGTGCCCTTGAACCTTGTTCTCATACTACTAATGGGCTGGAGAGCAGGGAGGAGGGGAGGGGCCTTCTTAACGCCAGGAGTATTGTCACTCCTCAGTTCCAAGTTTTTTTGATGGTGTGACATTATTAGTGTATCCCCCCCCACTCTTGCTAATGAAAACCAAGGAAAGTGCATTTAGGGGAGCTTTACCTTGTGTGTGGATGGAGTTGAGTGAGAATTTGGTTACTTTGTCGTGTTGAGGGATGCCATTGCAGGAGGTGGCATGTTACCTTTGAAGGGGGATGCTGATGCTGCTCAGCTGTTGCTCTTTTTGGAAGATTTTCACTGTCATTGGGGGAAAGGCTGTCCTCTTGGCTGTGCTGTTCATCTGCTCACCCTCTGTATCAGGGAACTCTGGAGACTGAAGGACTGGATCCAAAGAGCACAGGACTCTTGAGTCTCAAGAGTCACTGGATCTTAACAGGAGAACAAATGGTTCATGGTGTGAATCTTCACTTTTCTGTAAAATGGAAAATGTCATAACTGCTTTTGTCACTTGACTAAATCATTGAGATTATGTGGGTGGAAGATGTAAAACAGTGTGCTGCTTTATATAGAAGGTGGCATTATTACTAAGCTGGTGGAAGGCAGCATGCTTCCTACAATTGGTCTCAAAAGCTTTAGATGTCTTCCACCTAGTTTATTGCCTTAGCAAAGAGTTTGAGAGTGTGATTGTAGATGGAAGGCTTTGGGAGAAGTGAATGTTGCATTTCTTACTAAATGACATCCTTGAGAACCTCATAAATTGAAATATAATCCTGTCTTAATTATATTGGGCACAACTCCCAATACAGTACCTTAAATACCTGGAAAAGGTTGCTTTCCAGAGCCCAAATTCACTTGGTCAATAAAACAGTTGCAGGTTTGCTCAGTGTGTATTCTGTCTTTTGCATCATTTCTTTTATCATTGAATTCAGATCTTAAGGCTTGTTAGGAAGACACATTTACCTCTACCCTGTGGAGGAGCCGTTTCACCCCACGTCCCCAGCCTGCATGTTTTAAGGGTCTCGTTTTCCAAATGCCTGTAATTCCAGCACAGTTCAAGGTTATCTTCAGTTAAATATCCAGTCTGTGTCCATAAGCCCTTCTGGGCTACATAAGAAACTGTCTCAAAGATCCCCTGCCACCAATATGGCTCAGTTGGTAGAATGCTTCCCTAGCATTTACCCATTGCCAGGAAAATGACCTAGTGCTGCCTGTAATCAGGAGGTTTAAGCAGGAGGATCAGGAGTCAAGGAAGTTCTCTGCTGCCTAGCAAGCGTGAGGCCAGCAGCTGGGAATATACATTTTTTTTTTTTTTTTTGGTTTTTCAGACAGGTTTTCTCTAGTTTTGGTGCCTGTCCTGCATCTCGCTCTGTAGACCAGGCTGGCCTTGAACTCACAGAGATCCGCTTGGCTCTGCCTCCTGAATGCTGGGATTAAAGATGTGTACCACTACTGCCCAGCCCCTGGGAATATACTTTGGAAAAAACATGACCCAGACCACCCCATGACCCCAGAAAGTGAGAGAGGTTGCTTCATAAGGTTTGGAAACTGAGTTTTACTACAGTTTATAGTTGCAAAGTAAAATCAAACAATAGAAAAGTATACTAGGGCAGAGGTGTTTAGTTCAGTGCTTGGAGTGTTTACTTAGCATGGCTAAAGTCCCTGTGGGTAGGGGTGGTGGTGGTGGGGTGGGGGGGATGATCTCCAGCACTAAAAAAAGTTCAAAGTCATGATTTCCTGGCATGGTTGGTACACACCTTTAACCCTCAGCACTGGGGAGGCAGAGAGACCAGTGCATATCTCTTCGTTTGAGGCCATCCTGGTCTACACAGCAAGTTTCAGGCTAGCCAGAGATAGTGAGGCCTTGTCTTGAAAAAAAAAAAAATCAGCTTGCTTGCTTTTCCTTTGTGGAACAATCATTGTGATATTTTACAGCTATGGGGGAAGAACTGAAGTTATTCAGTTGCCTTGTATTCCCTTTTCTTTAATTCATACTGTCTTTTCTTTGTTTTTAGTGGTTGAAAATCCTTCCCTTTCCCAAGGAGTCTATGGTGGAGGTGATTTGTTTGATTTTTGCAGAGTTTGGGGTGGAACTTTTAGGGCCTTACACATGCTAGGAAAGCCATGACACCAAACGAAATCTTAGTTCCAAGCAGAAGCATCTTTAAAAACTGTCACTGTAGGTGTAGTATATAGACAATACAGAAGCAATACAGTCAGGTTCATAGTGTGTAAATTTAAAATGAATAATAAGCTTTGTTCAAAAAGCCAAAATTGGGTTCTTATTTTTTTTTTCAGAATAAAGCTTTGGCCATTTTTTTTTTTTTTTTGTTGTTGTTGTAGCTTTGCACCTTTCCTAGATCTCACTCTGTAGACCAGGCTGGCCTTGAACTCACAACTCTGGAGTGCTGGGATTAAAGGTGTGTGCCACCACAACTTTTTT